AAGTACGATTCTTTGATTAACCACAGAGTAAATTAGATTTTAATGCGATTTTGAATGGTATATTTATACTGTTTTTTAATTTGAGAGTCCTTTCCGATGCAAATGATTTCGAAGCAATGTATAAACCTCGAAATTATGCGTTAATTATCTCCGAGCGCGCATTATTCAAAAATGTGAAATTCAAAATTCATTAAGCACGAAAAGTGAGAGACAAATACATCAAGTAAGTTATGCACCTCGAGAAGTCCATTCTTAATATTTAACTGTAAATCCGAGTGTATTCGTGCCTCGTGTCCAACAGCTACGAGCCACGCATTTTTCCACAGACTCATACTAACCGCATCCTTGTTCACGAACGCCCCGGGCCTTTCCGAACCGATTTTCAGCGTGGGTGCACGCGAGCCTCGTGAGTTACCATCATGAGAGCCAGATCGAAGAAAGACACGAAGGGAGAGAAGCGAAGGCAGAGACGAATCATTCCCACAATTACGCAACCGCGTTCCCTATACCTCCGTCCTTCAGATTCGTCCTTAATGAAGGATAATCACGTTTAATTGACTGCCCTGAGGCGTTGCGTCGTGCCGCATCGACTTCACCCTGCGGCCCGGATCCTCTTACCAAGCGTTGGCAACAATTTCGTGGGACCAGGCACCGCGTCTCCGCTGCCGCACAATTAGTAGAGTTAGGTCAAAGAAAACGTTAACGACTTTCGGATTTCGGATCGCGGTTTCATCAAGCTTATAGCTTCGGGGATCGGTCCGTCAAGTGTTAATTTTTAGATTGAACGGACAGAGACTTTGGACCCGCGTGATTCAGAGGCACGAGTTTCTGATTTTAACCGACACAAATTTATACATTACGAGCATCTTTTTATTTCATGCCAACGAAGAAGGTTTGATTTATGTCCGAAACGATTTTCTTGGTCATTCTACAAACACCATTGATCTTTTTCTTTCACTTGATTGCTAACCATTTGTTAAACTACGAGCTTGTGCAGTAATACATTAAATACGAACTGAAGACATATCGATTTCTTACTGTCACGGAAACTCTGAATAATTCATAGATGACGTTCTTTTAAATAAGAGGATCAATTTTTTTTCGATAATGTAGTTACTTACTAAAAAGGATAATAAATTTTTTTTAAATTTATTTTTATAAATTTATTTATATTATATACATAACATAATAATTCCTGAATAATAACATTTCGTTTATATATAAATTCATGTGATTTTGTTCGCTTCATTATTGATAAAATGTTCGTCATTTGAATACTTTGTATTCATCGCTGCCCCTGACATTGTGCACTCTGACGATCAAAGAAAAATCCGTATGACGTCCTTGATTGAGCCGTAACCTTTGCGACCTGAAACGTCTAATTGCCGACGAGTAATCGCGGTAATTCCGCGCGGCGGCGTGGCGCGGAGCGGGAAAGTCGCGGCGCGGCGTGTGTCAACGGTTTTAACTGCGATGTAAATCACGCCGATAAGTATCACGCTGCTGCGTGCTGCCATGCCGCCACCGCCGCTGCAGCCGCGCCGAGCAAGTCAGTAAGCAAGGTCGCTCTTCGCCGTGTGTAATTAATCATTTTCATACGTCACGCAATAATTCTTTCCTTTTTATCGTTCCTCTTCAGCTTCGCGTTGGTTTTTCCTCTTCTTTTTCTCTGTTTAGGAGAGTAACGTGTCAGTCTCAGATCCCTAGGTATAACAGAGACGACGATCTCTCTTGATGATTGATCAGACGTTCTTTCGGTAGCAAGGATGGCAGTAGTTTTTATTAAATCTCGTAAGATTGGTTCTCAGCATAAAGACGAATGGGGAAGTTGTGCATATAAGCTTTTGGACATACGCACACAGCTCATAAGAGGAAATTTTGAAAAATGGGAAATCTTTTGTTCTTGGAAGATTTATTTATTCGTGTTGATAATAAAAGTATTAAGTAATTCTAAGACGACAGAATTATTAATAGC